CAGTTTTGTATTAGGTCTGAAGTAACTACTCTGCTGTGCAACCTATAGATTTCTATAGTGATCTTGAAACCAGATTTGCTGTCAAGATTTACAAAGAGGGTTGGTGAAACACCCAAAGACAAGAGGAAATCTAGTTTGCTTACCTTTGAGGGGAAGAGCTATGTTTCTGGAAAGGTGGTGTTTGACCCTTAACATTTCCATTGAGCCATATTCAGCAAAGAAATTGTCTATATGTACAGGTGCTAATATATTTGATGCTGAAGGAATTATTAGTTGTCATTTCTGGTGTAAAATCTTCACTTATGATCATAGGAAACATAACACTTTATGCACCTTGATGCCATGAATTTGCACTGGAATAACAGAATTTTTTGAGGAATGCTTACTCAGAAGAAAGTACTTATCTCAATACTACAAGTGTCTCTAGAGAAGAAAACAAGAAGTGGCAAGTGGACATTTCACTATGTGAAAACAGAACGGGTTACTGATAGCAGATCCTAACCAGCTGATGAGAAAAGGCAGGGGGACTTGTGCTGCTGGGTGGTGTACCCCTTACTTTTCTGATTATCACAGAGTTACGCTACATTGCATTCCTTTTGGCTGAGGCACATGATATCAAAGAGAGAGCGCCACAGGAGAGTCTGTTGGAAGCTGGACTTGTAGCACAGCCATCAGTGTATGGGTAGGACATCCAAATTTGGATAATTCTTATCAGCCATATGTAGACAAGGAGAAAATGCCTTTGCATTGGGGTTCTTTTTCTTAGAAATATATGAAGCAGTAGAGAATTTCTCAGCCATATGTCTTAGGAGCGAGTCAAACTGCACTCAAGAAAATATTTTAAACCTTACTGGTTTTGCTAAGCATAAGGGTAACTAACAGCATTTTAACATAAATGATTGTAGACAGACCTATCCTCACCCCTCTGTGCTTTTAAGTATCTGAGCTATGAAAGAGGCCACATTCTAGCATGTTAGTATGACAGAACAAATTAACTCAAATGCACATACATGATTTCTGGACTGGAGATGGCTTCTGTTCATCCAAATTAGATCAGAAAGAAAAAAAATGGTCTTTCTCTATCTTCACAGAGTAGATATAGCCTAAGACAGAGAATTACCTCTATATCAAGGAAATATCCACCAAATTCTAGACAAAAAAAAAATTATTCTATTTATTTTCAAAGCTGGCTTTGTAGACAAGTATGTTTCTTGATAACTGTAACTGAACTGCTCTTTGCTTTGTATCACAATAAGAAATTTCTACCTAGCCTTGATTGCCTATTGAGTTGAAAGACATATAGAGACCAGTGGGTCCCACTAGCCAAAGGACTTTGAGATTGTGGGACATGCATATGTCAGACAAAAAAATTATATCTGAATAAACATTTGAAAGATAATAACAAGCACTGGAAACTGAGAGTTCAGTGGAAGAAAAAAGGGGAGGAACAGCAGGGTCTAAAACAGATTGAAACATTGGTTGATTATACAAGTAAAGAAAAAAATTTCTGTATGAGGTGCTATACTTCAAAACATAATGCATGATGAAGGAAGAGGCACAAAGTTTGTCCTTTTAAAGACTTTGATTTATGCAGTCCCCTGATGTTTATAAAGTTGCTCACACATATTTGCATAATCTCTATGTATAGCTACCACTTGACAGGTATTCTGGACACACAAATGCAAAGTGATTCCTTCATTTTGACAACTTCCCCTCCAAGTTTCTGGGGGATGAATTCCAACAAGCCTGGTGCTGCTACTTTACTGCTCTGGTCCTTTCCTTCAGCTCTGATAGCCCTCCTCTCCTCTTTTTACAGCTGGAAAAACAACACAAAAGCCTTGGAAGGAAGCTGTCCAGCAGCAAAAGTTTCAGGCAAGGAAGCTGAAGAGAAGATATTGATCAGTGTTAAACCACTTTCAAAGTAATGGAAGGAGAGGTAAAGGAGATTTTCATTCTCTTGTAGTGAAAGTGGTATTGATTCTATTCTGTCCTTCTAACTAAAATAGCTCACTGGTTCCAGTGATGACAGCTTTCTCCTCATTCTGATCTCTCATTCCTGC